CTGGTTCGAGTCTCGCTGGGGGCGCTGATGAGACCAGTTCAGGCCGGGTGGGAACTGCAGTCCACTCCAGTCGGGATGAAGATACCTTTTAGGAAGGTAGGACTAGATGAAATTGAATGGAAACGTAAAGTTTACTGATATGATTGTGGGAGACTTTAACTATCAGTCCCTCATCACCTTAAACGAAATAAAGTGAATACTTCTCATTTATACTTTCTTAATTTAACCTGAACAGGAGATAAGTGACAGTTAAATGTGGAAATAGGATTGCCTGGCTACTGGGCGGAGCCACCGTCGGTTTCCGACATATCATATTTGCGAGTCTCTTCCATTCGCTCTTGCGAATGAAATTAAAGCGGATGGTTCGAAACCCAGCTCGACTGGTCATCATCTCCGGTCGCCTCAAATGAGTCTGACTGCGGATGAACTAGACCCCCTTCGAGAGGAAGGCAACACCGATTCTGTTGCCAAGACCTATCTGGATTCTGTTACATTCTATTGGTACCATGTCAACCGTCCTTTCGAAGCTAATAGACTCGTCTTCTGCAATCGGGCATCTCGTTGTCTGGCGGTTGGGCTGGCTACATTTGTTGACTCGCGCCACAGCGCGGCTAGGCGCTCCTAACAGTGTCTTCAATCTATCGAATCGTTCATTTGGTGCGTCCTCTTTATTGATTCTATCGTTCCTGCTGGACAGTGTTTCAGACGATCCAACCTTGTCTCTGGGGCAAAACTAGCACAACGACGTTGAGGTTTAGATCCAGTTGCCGGCTTGACGCTTAATCGTCATGAGGACGATTATGGCTTGGGTCTTGAAAATTAACCTCATTCAAAGGGACAAATATATGCAGACTCGTTTGGTGGTCGGTTCGTTGATCTGCAAGGCATTGTCGTTAAAAGTTGTCCAGATAAAAAGGAGAGCATGTTGTTTGGACGTTCTGGGAGGATCAAGTGGATGTATGAACAGACACTTGCATTGAAGTTGTTTGACCTTGTTTTCGCAAC